ATAGTCTCGGACGGCGTCGGGAATGAGTTCGTTGTAGAAGGTTCGGAGGAGAACTACTGAGGCGGTGAGTGATGCCACCGCCGATAGAATGGTCCTGGATGAAGGCAAGCTCTCCTGAGGACTCCCCAACATTTTCCCCACCAAAATTTTGTGAGATCAAGCCGGCGGGATTTGGAGACGTGGGAAGGAATTGCTTGGTGAAAAAGAAAGCCAAGATTGCAAAGGTCGGCATGTATAAAGTGCAAAACTAGAAACGTCTTCATGCTGAGGGTGAGGATCGTTCGATCTACGGATCGATTAACGTTGTTAGAGTCTCTTTGAAGAGCCCACACATTGGTTCCTCGCGACGTACAAGAACGAAGCCCTGTGAAAATGGTTGGTTATGGAAGGGTGTTATTACGCTGAACCAACGAAGCCCATTTATACGGAAGGCCCATGTCAAAATATCTCAAGATTCCAAGTGACGAGGTGGCGTCGTGGCGAAGATTATGTTTTTCTTGAGGTAATCTTTAATCCAATGTTTTTCTTTATTTAGTTTCTATATTTTGTAAATTTTTACCAACTCTCTCCTATCTTATGTTATGGTTAAGAGGAGTATACGGTATAGGTACTTTCAACTTTGACTAAATTTAATATATATGCTCTAAAAACGTTTGGTTTTGTTTTATACTTTCAACTTTTGTCGATTTTAGTTTCGTACTTTTGAAATGTTCATTTTGGTCTTTAAAAGTAATTATTTTAGTCTTTTTATTTTTATTTTTATCTTATTTATTTTGACACTTCACGCTTACTAAATTTCTTGAAATACAACTATAAATTTGTATTGAAAAATTTTCCTTTGTATATAAACTTTATCTTAGACATTTTGAAAATATAGAGATTAAAATGAATAAAAGTTGAAAGACTAAATTTTTTGAAATTACAGGGATTAAAATGAACGAAAGCTAAAAGTATACAGATAAAAAAAGTATTAACCTAGTTATAGATGAATAAGAAGTGTTATAGTGTGACACATTTATTTTAGTTTATAACTTTGAATTGAACTTAAAGACATGTTTTAGTTAAGGAATGGAGTAGGGAAAACGACTAAAACTCATTTTAGGTTTTTTTTTTTCTACTTACTCCAAAAGTACTAAAAAAATTGTTACCAAATAATTATGTCTTTATTGAATTTCTATTAGGTTTTATTAATATGATTAGGATATTTAATTGGTGTCAAAGTGAACATAGCTCATTTTTCGGCACCAAATGTTGTAGGTCAGGCGGTTGTCCCGTGAGATTAGTCGAGGTGTATGTAAGATGGTCCCGACACTCACGGATATATAAAAAAAAAGTAAATATAGCTCAGTCGTAATTGACATATTTTTCCAATCACGAGGTTGAGATATTTGGTTTGTACTATTTAAAAGAGTTTAACTCTTAATTGAAACTGACATTGTCCAACGAACCTGGACATAGTTCAATCGATTAAGACACATGTACGTAGAAATAAAATTAGAAGAAAAACAAATGACATTGAAGACGGCATAAAAAAATGCATGGCAGTCTGAACCTAAACGTGTGCCCACTTATTTGGGTGGTTCGTCGTTTCTCGATATAGGTTGGAAGGAATAAGCCTTAATTTTGTCCAAATAAGGACAGATCACACCTACTTTTGAATGTTGAAGAAGAATAAGAAGAATAATGATAACAAATTGCTCATAAAATACACATTTCCTGATCACATAATGGAACAGTAACTATAAGCATCTTCAGTGACAACATACCAGACATCGCACTTGTGGCATGTCTTGGGGAAATGGCATATCACATCCTTGCTCTCGCTCTTTTTCTCATCCTTCTTCTCTTCTTTTGCAGGCCCTACACTCAGAATTGCAGCAGATTTTCTGAATTTTCTCACCTTCTTGATGACTTTCACTGGATCAGCTTCACCGATGACAGTGACCGTGTTTTTTGGTGGATCGAGGGCGATGGAAGTTATCCCATTAACCCTCGCAATCGACTTCATCACCTGCTGCCTGCATTTCCAACATGGAAGTTCCACTGACACTACAGTTTTCTGCAACGAAGAAGTGTCAGATTTTGCAGTACTCAAAGAGGTCCAAATTATTGGCATTCAATATTATATATGCAAAAACAAACTAGCAGAAGTACTGCAGTGTGTCAGTGTGTGGCTTTGACGCCACAGGAGGTTTGAGCCTCGTATTAATTGGCAACTAAAGGAAAACATCACACAGAAATGAAGGAATTTTAGAGTTTTGGAGTGCGGTGGAACCTTTGACATGGTTTTGGGAAAGAATTAAAGTGAGCCTGGTTGAAGAGGAAGGTATGAAAAAGTGGATCTCATATTGCTAATATAAATTCTACTGACAAACTTTCAAGAGTACTTTGCTGTAGAATTGAATTTCTCTGTGCAGGACGGAAGTGAAGATTGGTCGAAAAGTAAATGCGGTGAGTACAGAGTTTGTTGGCGACTACTAAATTCCAACGAATGTTATTCATGGAGAATATTGTAAACATCTCACCACCACCACTATGCCATTTATTGCAGCATTACCCCCTGAAAAAGAGTTCTTTTTCTTCTACTACGATTTGGCGAAAGTCGGTCAATGGAGCAACAAAGTAGCAACTTGAGCTGTGCAAGAAAGTACTTGCGCCTGGTAACTGGTAAGTACACATGTCTAACATTTAGAAGTTTGTTTATGTACAATTTGGGAGGGTACGAGATCCGTGCAAGCCGAGTAGCAAACTATGTAAAAAAATACACTCTGACCCTCATGTCAGTCAAAATGATATAGGGATTAGGAGAGAATCTTTTTGTTACGACAACGGCTAGCATGTTGTAATTTTACTTCCCAACAAAGTTTTTTCTCTTTCTTTCGTGAAAAGTATTTGATCCCTTATCACTAAAAATCTGTGTTTAATTTTAGGAAGTACAAGAAGTGAAAGGAAGAAAGCGAGCTTGAGTTTGCTTTCTTAGTCCATTTCTATTAATTCATCTATATCCTACCATATCTTCTATTATCTAGTTTTGCGTCTTATCTATAAGTAGCTTCCATTTATTTATTTTATATTTAATACATAAATAAATTTCAATATTAATTTTTACTCAATCAAATTACAAAATAAATTTGAATTTCTCTTGACAGCAATTGGAATTATTTTCTCGCATTATGGCCTTCACTTCGGATTTTGATATCCATTTTTTACTTTTATATAATATGATTGTTTGATAAGTGATAACGAGTTATTTTTCTTACCAACACGAACATTAAAGCTTAATATAAAACTTATCAGACAATCGTCCATTTTTAGACCAACTTTATATTTTAACCCTTAAAAAAACAAAATCCAAAAACAACATACTTCTGAATGATCATGTTGAGTGCATGCTACGGCGGCCCCAAACCCATCAAATAGCAGGAAGACTTTATTTTTTACAATTCCCAACGTCGTTCATCTAAATCTAAAATAAGATATCTCCTAGAGCACCCACAAATAAATGCTTTCACAAATAGAAAAAAAAAATTATAATTTCTACTCGTATAATTAATAACAAATAACTGGTTCCATTATTTCAGCTTTTTATTTAATTATGTGTTTTTTGAACGACTACATTTGCTTACCTAGTATTTCCAGAAACGGAAACACCAAAATAAAATAATTAAAACAAGAATAGTAACAAAATTGAGAGAAACTGTGAGCAAAGAGAAACAGATTACTGGGGAAAATAAAATAGTCATGAATAAAGAAGCGTGCAGACTGCAGAGAGATTTGGTGGAATAAAATGTGTGAAACCGAGGAATGAAGAGAAAATGTGTATAAATAGAGAGATTAGTGAGAAAAAATGTGTATAAATAGAGAGACTAGAGAGAAAAAATGTGCATATAAAGGAGTTGAAAGAGAGACTGCATGCATAGTAATTAGTAAAAATAGAGAATATAGAGAATGCAGAATGAGATTTAAGAATTAAATTGGATCTTTTGAAAAGTAGTTCTAAATTGTGTCTAAAGTATTTTTGTCATGATTAAAAGTGCTTCTAAACATGAGTAAAGGGAGACGATGAAGTAGAACCAGACAACAGTTCAAGTCAAAATCAACAGCCTTCTCAAAAATTCGTCCCAAAACGCAATAAAACAGACAATTCAAATGTATGAACACGTATCAGATCCCTGGTATCAAGAACATTTCAAAATCCAACTGTAGGAGTAATTTATAGGTCATAGGAAGGCTAAAAACTTACCAACGAGTCTCCTTGAGGTGGTCGCTAAATCACTCTACAGAGCCCCATGACAGTTCATTTTATCACTTTCTCCTGCACTTAAAAGAAGAAGCTCCCAATGGGGGAAAGATAAATAAAATATACATACTAGATCTTTACGAATTTCAAAAGAGGGCGCCATAGTAGAATTTTCCCTTTTTTTCTGGGGGCATAGTGGATTCTAACGTACACTAATCATTAAAAAAAAATCACTTCTACCAGATCATACATAACCTAAATTCCGAGGCAAGAGTGATATGCCAAATATTGACAGTAGACATATGCCACGTACGAATGCCATCGATGCTTTTGTTTGTCGTGAAGATTGGGATAACTAGACAAAGCTTCTGCAGAGGCTTTGTGAAACAGCAGATTAGATCTACAAAAAAAATACATCCAGCTTTTCATAAGAGCATCAAAGAAGTACAAAGGGCGATGCAGAAAGAAATAACTAATTAAGCAGCACCACGACAAAAGCTCAACGAGCAGAAAGTAGAATTGATAAAATAGCACAAAAAGATATCACTGATATCAGCATAATTACTATAATACTCTAAATAAATTTCCGATTCATGCTTACCAGAAAAGAAGTATAGCCACAAACTTTGGCGTGTACTCCCAATGCGTAGTAGATTCATAAGCGTTCGGGCCTGTAATAATTGTCTGCCTGCAGCTCTGTCACAAGCATCTGTGTGTAGTTGCAAACTATTTTTTTGTCTTGTTCGTAGTACTCTTCCATCTTCTTAAAAGGTTTTAGATCCAGGTCTATGAAATTCACCTAAAAATTTTTAGACCGGGTAGAGAATCATTAGAAAATCATGAGAAACCCAACTTGAAACTTAGAAAAAGTTGTTGATCTCAGTAAACTACTCGATCACCATATTCATGTTTTATTTGTCAAAGGATTAACGATGAGAAAGTTTGTGGAATCAAATAAAACTTCCCAACTGAACTGGGAAATTGGTCATTAGTCTTTCATGACCAACACAAAGGAAGGATTCATCACCAAACCTATTTGATTCCTGTGATTTAAATTATACCTACTCATCATAGTTCAGAAACATTTCACTAAGTATAGTAGACAACGGATTAATAAAGTACACCTGAAGTTGATTTATACTGCACCATTAGAAATGTAACCATTCAAATGGTGGACAAAATGCAAATTTCCGTGGATTTCATTGTCTTCACTTGTTAAAGAAAGTGTCTTACAAAATATATATACATCCATATATGTAATTCAAATAAATTAGCAGTTTTCAGTTTACTTGAAACTTTTGATATAAAAAAAGGGAATGCAAATGGATAGGCAGAGGGGATATACCTTATAGTCAAAAGTTTGGTTGGTTGATTCAAGTAATATGCTGTTATATGCAGAACCTGGACACTCAATATGCCACGGTCTAAACGTAACCATCAAACTACAGTCTTTAGCAGTTGCAGCTATTAAAAAGTTCCTCACAATCTCCAAGCGTTGATCAAGATGGGCAGAATGTAAAGTGGCACATCTGTTCAACAATTCATCATCATCCAGATGTCTACAAACCAAGCAGGGCTCAGAAATAATGTCATAGTACGCATGAATAGCCCCTTCTATGTCAAAACTGTCAAGCTTCTGAACCTCAAGGAGTCGATTCAGACATCCTGATTTATACACAGCCTCAGCAACAAGTTGTAGAAAACTCATTGTTCGAGATCCATTTTCTCTCTGGATAACAGATTGAAGGGCATCTTCAAATGCTTCCTCAATCACCAAATTAGTGTCAACAGCATAGCCACCTGACGCCCCAAATATTAGGGAACCATTCAAGAAAACACGGAAATTATTCTGAGGGGTAGAGAAAAGATCTTTGATTGCTTTATATATCCGGTCCTTGGATCCAGAGAACAAATCTAGAGGATCGTAATCACTTAACTCTGATATCTGTTAAGTAAATTGGATGCAATCAAGTTAGAACTTAAAACATTTCAGAAGAGCAGTCAATTAGTATCATAGAAGCATGAAGATCAGACACTGAAGTGATAGAAGAACTGGGATGTGACACTGAGAATCACATTTGAAGGGATACAGAAAAATAATTGATGGAGGAGTCACAGGTACAATCTAGATAATACCATTGAGACAAAAAGAGGAGCAAAATTACCTCGCCTTTCTTCAACTTCAATGCTTGGTGCATCCTAAAACGAGTCACATTTTGTTTAATGGCATTTCTTTTGCTTATGAATCTTGAAGTTGGAAGAAATCCCCATTTCGGCTGATATATATAAAATAGAAAAATCACTTTCAGGGTAAAAAATAAACTAGGAGGGGAAGGGGAGGGGGAGATGGGACAGATGAAAACCATTGAGGAGCACCTTTATCTCGACAGAAATGCAAAATTCACCTTCACCACCTAAAAACAAAGAAAGGTAGACTGGTGATACTCATTACTCTGGATAATAGAACGAAAGCATTAAAATATTAAGCAGGTATTTCAAGATAATTGCTCATCAATAAACCATGTTGAAACAGTTATAACAAGAATAATATTTTTTCCTATAATAAAATGGTTTTTTTAAGGAGACGTGATAATTAGTTCTTTTGTCCTGACAGTTGACAAGTTGCCATTTCAATTGCAATATGCAATTTTAGTTTTAAATTTCTTCAATATATTCAAAGGTAATAGAAAAATTTTCTAATTCTCTTCCCCTTCTCTTTTCTATATTCCAATTTTTTCTTCATGTTCTTCATTGTTTTACACTCTAACTTGTCTCTAAATGAACAACACTATGGGAGCTATTTAAAGCTTTCTTCCTTGCTCCTAAGGAGTCTATCAGGTATCAAATAATGAAATAACCAATTAGACAACACAACAAGCTTCCTGCTAATAGAAGTATATATTCACTCGTACATCCCATTTGCTTTACATAATAGGTATCTAAATTTTTAGTTGATTCAGCTGTTAGCTAGAGAATTTTTAGATATGAACATATTGACTGCAATAAAAAAAAAGTTAGAAGTCCATATATAGTATGTGCTAATCTTATAGTTATAAATGTGTTTAAATATCAGAAGAAGGATAATAGCAAAAGAGAGCATGAAGAAACTCTACCTTGAGGGAAAATAGAATGATCAGATTGAAGGAGGACAGAATCACGATATATATTTACTTGTCCTGCACTAACCCTCCATGCAGGACGCTGACCAAGAATATTCTTCTCAATGGTCTCTAGGAATTCTTTCGTTACAAGGATGTGGACCTACCAGTATAGGTAGAATAGAATATACGGTCAGAATAATTTGTTCTAAAATGAGAGCATCAATCATTCTTGATTTATCACTTTTTCAGATTGAATTATTACTACAAGTACATGCAGAAATATGATTCACTTCATTCTATTAGCAGACCTCTAATCTAAGCAAGATTAGGATGAAATGAATACAATAACATACCCCAGCGTCAACATGTTTGGAATCCAATAATGGGATCATTACATGCTGCACATAGATTTGACATGCAACATCTCGATCCGTGCATGACACAAGGTCCCCTACATCTCTCCACAGAAGGCGCTCATGCGCGGACAAATCCATTAGGTTCAGAACGCTCGGGCAGTGTGATCCATTTCTTGTAGCCTTTTCTATTCGTATAACTTTCCCAAACTAAGAATAAAATTAGCACAGAGATAATCAGCGGCCACCGGTAGATTGAAGCAAGTTCAAACGAATAGAAAATTTCAACTAGAATTCATTTTCTTCCTCGAAAACAAAAACGTCGATCGATGACTTGAAATCTACCAACGAGAATAGTGTTTCAAGAGAGTACTAAACAATCTTATCAAAGAAATAGATTAGTGATAATCATACTTCCAAATTGAAACAGAAAACCGATGAAAATGTTCATAGATTCTTTCACTAAACTTTCGAGGGAAAAAATAAATTACAAAAAGAAGAATCAAGGGTTATCTCCTTGGACATAAATATAGATGCGAAGTAGACATACAAAAAGAGGAGAGGAACCAGTGTAAGCGAGGACAAGATTGACAGCTCCTTCGCCTCTGTAAATCCAGTCAACAGCATCCTTCTGCTCCAGTACAATTTCCATCCCGCAGATTTCCTTGCGGTCTAAAATTCAAACAATCGAGACATAAAGTAAATAGAAATGAACAGAGCAGGAGAGAAAGAGAATTTGGAAGCTCCATGCACCTGATCGGACCTCTGATAAGAATGCGTTGAGTTGAGTTGGAAGCTCCAAGCACCGGCTCGATTAAAACCCTAACAACAAAGAAGGCTCGCACCGATCAGGCACTCAACTTCGTCAAAAATGCATTTTAGAGACGAACTTCAACCAAATACCTCCACCAGAAGAGAGAAAGCTTCACGCCGTTGATCGAATCGACTTGTAGACGAGTTTGGACTTCAGAGTGACAGTGAGAGCATAGATTCCGCAGACTGAAGCATTCATAACTTTACTCTGCGAGAAACCTCGAAGACTCGCTCACCATAAGAAGCGTGGAAAGCTTCCGAAGAGCAGAATCTGCTGCTCACACGTTTATTCTTTTGGAACCTTTCAGCTTTCAGTAATGTTTACACTTGTAATTGTGGCTCTTTCTTTATTTTGCGTTAAATTATATTTTTAGTCAGTTTGCTTTGCTTTAAAATTTTCATTATCATTTGATTAGAATCTATCATGCCCCTAGTTAAAAATTAAATAGCATGATTTAATAGTAATCCACATATATCTCCAAATTAAGAGATTGTGAATTCGATCCCTACCTCATGTTGTACTAAAATAACCTACCATCTTTAAAGAATGAACAAGATAACTTAATAGTTAAGTTGTGTATATATTGGTACAATCACTCTCATTCAAATGGAATAGTATTAAACTTTTAATATTATTGAAGGTGTAAGTTCCATGGTTAATATTTTATATTCTATTATACTTTGTTTAACTAAAAAAAAAATGATTCATTCATAGTTTAATGTATACTATTAGAGATATAACTATTCACACGATGATACACCATTATATATATTCTAATTCAATTAGTTTGTTTAATTAATATTGATGAGTCAGATTACAGAATTTTTAAGTAAAATATTTCAATTGCATCGATTTTTAATATGTTAGGTTCAGCTGATTTGGTTTTTTTTTTTAATAAATTTCAATTTTATTTTATTTAGTTCAATAATGTCAATTTTTTATCTCTTAGATATATATTTTTTAGTACATATCTGATACATTCATTTACAAATTTTTTCCCTATATTATAAAAATTAAGAGTATTCTAACCATGTGTTCATCATTTAATTGTCGGGTGAGAATTCAAGAATTATACGCATTTTGTCTTCAAAAGAAAAAAGAAAAGAATTAGATGCATTTTCCCTTCCCAAGTTGATATTGTGAAAACTGCAAACAAATCCTTTTCAAGCTCAGGATATCCTTAATTACAAGCCAAATTTCCAATGAATTTTCTCTTTTTCCTATTAATTATAAGCCAAATTTCTAATCGTTCCAACTGACATTGAATTTATTTTTAGCATTTAAATTTGATTCTATTTTTATTGTAACTACAAACTATCATACTGTCACTACTTTGAGAAATGATACAGAATAAACAAAATCTGCTAAACTCCAGTCTGGGGTGGATGTGGATGCCAAAATATCATTCAAAAAGATTTTATTCTGAAGGATCAATGCGTAATCAAACTAAGGATAAGGAAGTAGTGGAGGCCTTCAAAAGATTGCTCAACTTTCCTTCTGTTCCTCAACAGAAAGATATTCTCACAAATGCATAAAAAGAAGATTATACAATTAACAAGCTCAAGAATAAATACAATTATGCACAGAAATATTATACTTGTCATAATCAAATCCCATGGGGTAAATATCATTTTCGCATTTAAATTTTATTCTATGTTTATTTTGTTACATTAGTATCTCAACTTTGAGGTGAGAAATAACTTTCAAACAGATTATACAAATCCAGCAGAACCAGATTACAGTGAACAAAACTCCAGTCTATGGTAGAAAAGAAGATTCTATTCTGCAAGTCCAGAAACAAACCTAGGATAAGGAAATGGTGGAAGCTTTCAAGAGATTGCTCATCCTTCCCTCTTTTCTCAACAAGAAACATATTCTCTTAATGCACAAAAAGAATTGGACCGAATTTGAAATTTGGATTTACCTAGAATCTGAAGAATTTTTAATCTCAATAACAAGCTCAAGTATAAATATGTTGGGCACAGGCGCATGCGCATACCTTGATATCTAGACATCAGAATTTCTACAAAGCCTCAACAAACAAGCTGCAGAAAACTCATTGCTCCATCGTCTCTCTGGACAGATTTGAGAGTATCTTCAAACCCTTCCCTAATCACTGACCAAGATCCCAAGAATTTGAGAACCATTCAAGAAAAAAGCTGGAAGTTATTCTGCTTTGTTGCGAAGTAGAAGTACCTTTTTCTCGAAAAACCATACCCTACAGGCTACAAATATATTCAGTGACAATATCTGTTATATGTAAGCTGGTCAGCTAGGCAAGCTTTTTAAAACCTGGTCCGATTGTTGCTTCAAAAACCTTGATACGATTATTCAAGACCAAATTGGAATAAGCAGAGCAATGAAAACGGTACAAATAAATACTTATTATTTTAGTTTTTAAAATTTGACTTAGATTTCGATTTTTTTTT